TGGGAAGGTTTATGCCAACCAAGGGATTCCTTTGAGACTAACACAAGGCCTGATCTTCTTGGCAGCAACATGGAAGTTGATTTTCAATTGTCTTCTTCCGGGATGTTTTCTTGACTCCCCAATCTAGCCTACAGCTCTGAGATTTCCTGGTTGTTTCTCATCCGAGCACTAACTCACTGTAATGGGAACAAGAAAAAATCTCAAGGAACAGGAGGAAGAGTCGCAACCAAGACAAAATAATAGATAAAAGAAATGAGTCTGGGCCAGAACTGTAACCTGAGTGAGTTTCTCAGACAAGACTCTCTTGCACACTCAAAATCTGCAAGATTTGATTACTGTAACCTTATAATAAAATAATAAATAGTCACCTCATTGTAGAATAATAAATTGTACTAAGTAGTAAATAGTAAGTACTTATTAACTAGTAAGTCCTAAGTTGTCAGAAGTAAACTGATATTCAAGTAGTAACTTGAATCACAAATGAAGGCGGACATATGTGTCCCAGGCGAACGTTGCAGGATCCAATCTGGCTCGGTTAGTGGGACCAGAAGTTTTGTTTTCCAAGCTTTCAGATTCATGCTGGAGCCCATCTTCAGGGAACTTCTCCCTAGCAGAATGTGTGCTGTTTTGTGTGTGGTATTTATAGTGCCTGTTGTAAGTGGCTTTTTAGATGTTGATTGGGGTGTGTGTTGATGGCTGGCTTTTAAGTCATTAGCTGTCGTTTGTTTGTGCTGCCTAGCTCTCGCCTTTTAAGTACTTGATAGGCTGGTGGTAAATCAGCACTCCCGTTGACTGACAAGGGGGCCAGTTTCCCAGTAATATAATAGTAACTTTATTTTAAAAGTAGTATTAGTACTCATGAGTTTGGTTTCTTACTTTGGTCTACCTTGAAAGACTGACATCCCTATCTGATGATGCTTAGTAGAGCAAGATCGTCAGCCAAGGTTGGTTATGTATTGCAACTTGCTGTAACAGAACTACAGCAGTGACTTCATCAATCAAGCTCACATTTGGGGGTGAGTGAGGAGAAGGAAACACAGTGATCTACCTATTCAGAGAACATTTCAGCAGTTCTACCTCCAATTTCTTCACATGAATTTCTTCCCTGAAGAAGTGGACAGATAATAAAACCACAAACATTGTAACGCTTCCATGCAAAACTATATAGTACCGTGAAATTTCTAGATCAAGCAAAGATCACTCCCTTCCACTCTGCAAATGAGAAGAAAGTGCCATATTCAGTTTATGAACACTCTCTACTCCTTTCAGTTCATTGCACCTCAAGCCTTCCCTCTTCTGGACTCCAGAGACTTGGATTTTGCCTTAGGGCTTTTCTGGATCAGCTTGTGGGAAGCATTTAGAACACGGGTGCCAAACTCGATTGTGTCACGTGACATATCGTGACGTAGCGCGATGATTTTTTTTGTCTTTGCGGAGCTGGGGTGGGTGTGGCTTGGATGTGATGCATCTGGCCCGCAAGCCGCCAGTTTGACAGGCCTGGTTTAGAACCTTTCTCCCAATTCATAACAGTGAGTTGGGGTTACTGCTTACAAGGGTGATTCCAATTTGAGGCCAGATTGTGACCCCTTTCCCCCGCAAGTCATTTTGCTTGAAAAAGCACCAAAGATGTTTAACTTTATTTCTTTTTTGGTGCTGCTCAGCCGAGCCCCTTCATGCAGAGGATTTTGAATTGATAGATGGTTCATAACTGGAACCTATTTTTGCTTTCTTGGGAATGTATGCCATGCTAAACTATATGGAATTTCCCCTTAATTGTATATGTAAAATGGAAGTCGTGTGTGAGGCTAATGGTCTCTTTACTAGGTCCAAAAATTATAGCCATATTATTGTCTAAGCACATATCAGTTACAGTTGGAGTGTTTCAAAGATGCTTTTCCAAAAAGCAACTGGACTTTATTTTCCCCCTCTGAAAACATTTTGCTTCTCATCCAAGAACTGTAAAAGCTTCTTGGAACATTTTCAAGGAAAAAGCAAATCAAGAAAGCCCAGTTGCCTTTTGGAAAACACCTTTGTGACAACCATGACTTGGATGATTGAGAATCTCCATAGACATTGTCCCAAAGCAGAGGGGGTATTCAGCAGGTTCTGACCAGTTCTGGAGAACTGGTAGTGGAAATTTTGAGTAATTCAGAGAACCAGCAAATACCACCTCTGACTGGCCTCACCCCCATCTATTCTCTGCCTCCCGAGTCGCAGCTGATCGGCTGGGTCTTCTTTTGTTGCCCTGCACAGGAGAACAGAGCTGGAAAGCAGGCTAGCGGGGAAGGAATGGGGATTTTGCAGTAACCTTCCCCTGTCACGCCCACCAAGCCATGCCCACAGAACTGGTAGTAAATTTTTTTCAATCCCACCACTGTCCCAAAGGTGTTTTTTCAAAAAGGCAACTGGGCTTTCTTTGTTTTTCCTTGAAGACGTTTCCCTTCTCATCCAAGAAGCTTCTTCATTTCTGACCTGGAGCCCCATTTTCCAGAATTGGGCAGTATTGTCCCATTATGGAGAAATGTTAAGGTGCCTATGCAAAGCTTAAAAATTTAATCTGGCCCCTTAAAATGCAACAATTCAATTAATTAAATGTCATAAACCTCCGTGCCACCATCACTCCTCTCCCTTTCAAGATTTCAAGCATTTGCTCCAACCTTTTGGGAGAGGACCAAAAAAGGACATTCATGCAGGCCCTGTTAAATTACAAGTATTAGGGGCTAAGGCAGCAACCATTATGCCACGAGAGTGCCAAGGCATTCTATATAGATAGCACGTTTGTAAAGTTCTCATGCCTGCACTGTGTCCTTAGTAACTTTTAACTGATGTGACATTTGTTGTTGATATTCTAGCTGTTGAATATCATGGTATTAAACAGAAGTTTTTCAAACTAGTGAAAGTCAGGCAAAATAATTCAGAATGTGAGCTGAAAATGAAATGCTGCAATAAAGCAATTGCTTGGGATAAATGGCAAGCGGGAAAATACAGATGGCAGGTCACATAAGTGACACTGGAGGACAAAATTCTGCAAGCAACATAAGTCTAAACATAGGATTCTCTATTGGCTGTTCTTAATGACTTAATTGCATTTAATATATGTACTAGTCTGTACACAAGTGATAAAGGAAAGTGCAAAGTAATTCTGAGATGATGCAAAGAAACAGTTCTCTTTACTGTTGCGGTAAGAATTTCTTTACAGACAGAATCTAAAGCTGCAATTTTATGTACATGCTTATTTGGGAATAAGTAACATTAAAATTGGTAAGATTTGCATCCAATTGTGTAAACACGCACGTTGAAAGTGCTATAAAAGTGTCTAGTGCCTGCTGAAATATTATTCCCAGGATGCTTCATGCTACACAGATAAATAAACAAAATAATAACGACCATGATGGTGTTAATAACTTGAACATCTTCTTTCACTGTCAGATGGCTTCGCTTATTATAAAACTGCAAAATGCAACTAGTTTCTTAGTTTCTTTCCATTCCTTCATTTTAGCAGATTTATCAAGGGCATCGTGAAGCTGAATAGTTCTTTAGGCAGAGTTGGAAATGTGTGTCATCTCTAATCCAAATTAGACTTGTGATTCTACAGAAAATTATGCAGCCTAGAATATTTTGGAAAAAGCTGCCAAACTACTTTGGTTGTTAAGCCCAGCTTTAGCATTTGATAGAGTTACGGAACTAATCCATGCAGCAGAAATTGAAAAGCAAATGGTTATTTATTGTAGCTCTTTGAATTTGTATTGTTACAGTTGGCTACTTCTGCTAACTGCTGGCTGCCTGCAGTTTGGCAGTTCGATTCTCACCAGCTGAAGATTGATTCAGCCTTCCATCTGTTGGTTAAAATGAGGACCCAGATTTCTGGGACCAATACGCTGACTCTGTAAACAGCTTAGAGAGGGGCAGTGAAGCACTGTTAAGCAGTATATAAGTCTAAGTGCTATTGCTATTTGCACTGGACTGAGATGGATAAATTGTGCACAGGTGTATTGCCAAAAAAACATTGAGTTTCAATTCTATCAAAGAAGTTTTTAAAAAAAAGTCAAGATGGGGAAACAATTATGCAATCAAAGCCTTGCCCTTTTACATGTGTTGTAACATAAAGGAGTATGGCTTCAATTCCATGGTTGAGTCCATTTTGACTTTTTTGACTCTTTTTCTATGGACAACCCTGGATACTGTTCATTTTGATATCAGGAGGTGGGCACCATTTGTGCCTCTGCTTTCAAACAGCAGTGCTGCTTGTGCATACGTTTTGAAAGGTGCATTGTTCAGAACAGTATGACTATTAATGTACCCTGATAGTCTGGCATTTTGTGTTCTTGAAATCAGTTTATATGCTATTTGGAACAGCATGCTCATTTCCAACCTTTGGACCAGTGGTGGGATTCAAATTTTTTTACTATCGGTTCTGTGGGCATGGCTTGGTCGGCATGGCAGGGGAAAGATACTGTAAAATCTCCAGTCAGAGGTGGTATTTGCTGGTTCTCTGAACTACTCCAAATTTTCACTACTGGTTCTCCAGAACTGGTCAGAACCTGCTGAATACCACCTCTGCTTTGGACTAACTCTTCAGAAACGTAGTGAGTAATCCTCTTCTCTTCTCTTCTCTTCTCTTCTCTTCTCTTCTCTTCTCTTCT